CCCTCTCCACCTCCCCGCGCCGGGGTCTGCCTGCCGCCGGCTCCGAGCCCCTCTCCACCTCCCCGCGCCGGGGTCTGCCTGCCGCCGGCTCGGAGCCCCTCTCCACCCACCCGCGCCCCGGGGCAGCTCCGGCCAGCTTATTGACGTTCGAGCCACTCCATCCTCTCCCCGCCTCCGGACGCCTCCCCGTCTCTAAATGGAATTAGTGGAGCGCGGAGCCTCGGGTGTAAGGCACAGACATGATCCATGGACGCGCCGTGTTGCACAGTGAGTACCTGCCCGCCGCGCGCTCCGCTCGCCTGCTCCATCCCTCGCCTCCCGCCGTCCCGCTCCTCCGGGGCCCGCGGGGGCCTGGACCCTGCAGCCTCCCAGACCGGGCAGAGGGAAACTTTCTGTATTGCAGCATCCGAAAGCGGGGTGTGGGGGCGGCGCGCCTCGGCCGTCGCCTGCTCTGCGATCTGCGGGGACTATCGGCTTTTCTCGAGCCGGAACCCACCCGGGGGTGAGCCGAGCGAGGAGCTCAGGGGTGGCACGTGCGGAAGGAGGCTGGGGCGTGGGCTCGAGGCACCGCGCGGGTGGTGAGAGGGAGAGGGCGGGGGTCGAGGAAACATCCCTGCGTCCTGGACTTGCTGATTTCACGGAGCCCTGGTTGGCACTCCAGGGCGTACCTGGGTCCACCTGAGCCAACGCTGGCGCGGAGGGCTCCTGCCCACCTCCAGTCCGCCGGTAGACAGCGAATGTCGCTTTAAGAGTGTGTGGTAACTGAGGCGTGGAGCGTTGAGTGCGGAAAGGGAGGAAGGTCGCCTTCAGGAAAAAGGCAGCATAAGTCAGACCACCGGCTTGTGTTCGGAACCAAGGATTAGAGTTATTCCCGTGTCGTGCCATTAAGAGACCGGGCTTGCTGATGTGTTAATCACAGTGCACATTCCTGCTTAACGTGCTTGCATAAACCCGGGAAAAACAGAGTAGAGAGACCCCAAACATCCGTCCTGCTATTGAAGGGTGCCTTTCTCTGTACTTAGGAGAAGTTAATATATACGTGTGTGTGCATGTATAGGTATACACGTTTCCATTATAAAGTCCACACACCACCACCACCAATGGTTTACCATCAAAGCAGATGGCTGGTTTAGAGACTTAATTTTTCCTGTAACTTAAAGAAATACAGTACAAAGGGATATAATTGATACATCTTCTCAATCACTGATATCAAGGCTCACATAATTTTGGGGCACGCTATCTAAACACTGAGTATATGAGCTCCTGCAGTGGTACTTAGAGTGGGACATAATTTTGAATTATAGTCTCCCCTCAATATTCATTTTAAGTGTATATATGATTATATATCTAGGAGCTCTGGTAGCATAGTGGCTAAGACGCTTGCCTGCTAACCAGATGGCTGGCGGTTCAAACCCACCAGCCACTCCTCGGAAGGAAGGTTGGGCAATCCTACTTCCATAGTGATACTGCCTCGGAAACCCAAGGAGGGGTCTCTATGAGTCGGGGCCGACTCGACGGCACATAACAACAACAACAACATGATTATATATCTAATAGAACCTAGAGTCTTCATATAACTAGGCACCAAAACAAATAACAAAAAATAAGATAGAAGATTATTGAAATGACACAGAAGTTCAGGTAATCATGGCCCTATCAGATTCACTGTCAAGTTTCACAGCAGAGCCTCTTTTTTCATACTAAAAACCTGATTCATACAAAAATGCTTATAGAAGTGACCTTTCTCAAAAATTAATCTATTTCTGGATAACCCTAAGTATTAAGTCAGAGTGAAGGTTGGAAGACATTCATTTCATGGCTTAATACTGAGGACAGGGTTTACTTAGTAATTCAGTACATTTTTATAATGTACAGTTTTATAATACTGCTTAATGCCTCCAATCCAAATTAATCTGACTCCCTTTCCCCTCCCGTCTTCAGAGGATTAGTAGAAGTATTTATTTCATAAAATACAACCATATTGGCGATGTGTTCCAGTTTCTCCCTGTTATTTCCACTTCCTCCTTGGACCTGCTGTCTCTCTGTCTTCCTTGAGATCATGTCAACCCTGTCTCCACAAAGGGGAGCTTAGAAACCTGGGGTCCTGAAATCCCCTTCTGTGTGGCATTAGATTGCAGAGTGGCCCCCCGAGTCTTGAAGTAGGCCTTTGCCTGCGAACCTTGAACTTCCTCCATCCTCAGTCTGCACCATTCCCTTAAGGGATGCTGAATTCCTCTTTTGTGCATTTTGCATCAGCTTTTTGTGTTCCAAGTCTACTTGGAACAGTCAGCAGTAATACAGCTTTTCTGCTTTCATGTCGTTTTGTCTTTAATTTCCATGACTTTGATATTGAACTTGACCATTTCAGCGTACACTTATTTTCTCTTTCTAATTTTTTTTTTTTTTTTTCTGTTTCAGTTGTAGCAAGTTTAATCATCCTTCACTTGTCTGGGGCAAGCAAGAGAGGAACAGGTAGGAGTCTTCAGTGAAATGGGGGAGGGGGACCTCTCTCTATTTTGCATTTTCCTCTGCTTCCTATGTTCTTGTTTTTCCAGACTCTCTGGAAATCTTGTAATTGATTGGTTTGGACTTAGACAACATTTAGAAATTAATTTACTAATGGAAATTGTAAGAATGTCCTCTCTATTTTTAGTTTTATAGAAAATGGGATGATGGCTCTTTTTTTTATTATTTTTTCTGCAGAAAAGCAAGCCACCTCCGAAACACAGAAGTCAGTGCAGTGTGGGACCTGGACAAAGCATGCAGATGGAGGTGTCTTTACGTCTCCCAATTATCCCAGCAAGTACCCCCCGGACCGGGAGTGCATCTACATCATAGAAGGTGAGGAGAGAGGGAGCGACTGGGGAGAACAGCCGGCCACGCTGAGCCCTCCCTTGGTCTCCAACTGACAGAATACTTACAGACATTACAAAAATTGGTTTTGGACAGGGTATGCATGAATACCTCCAATGAGTCAACTAACCGTAGACTCTGGAATCAAGCGAATACTTTGAAATTATTAGTAATGGATTATGAGCAAGTAACTTCTGGGAAATAAAAAGGAATCAGCAACTTTCAAAGTTTATTTTGCAATTGAGTTCCTTGATTTCGAGTTCTGAAGTAAGGGAGCAGATGTATAGTGGACATAACATTGTATGTTATGGGAAAGTTTTGGAAACTTGTATTTTATTAGTGTAATAATTATTAGAAATGCAAAAACTCATATATATGTGTATGTGTGTGTATATATATATGTATATATATGTATGTATATGTATGTAGTATGAAAGCACAAAGAGTGTATAATATCAGAAAAAAATGTATGGCCATGCTTTCCAAACATCACTTTGGATAATCATTGTCACTGAGATGCTAATTCTCTCTACAGAGAGAATAGCTCCTGTAAATGTTCCCAGACATGGAATAGTTAGGGAGCACATGTAGTACTGTAGGGCTTCTGCCTGTGTTGAGAAGAGGCGCAGGAGAAGGCTGAAGAGACGGGCAAAATCCCAAATGAAGCAGGACCTGGCATTCTGTCTGAGAGTTTGGACTCTTATAGACACTGATGTACCATTGAAAGGATATAAGTGGAGAAGTAATAAGGTGGTATTCTGATGAGGAAGTAGCTGAACGAAAGCAGCAAGGAACTGTTGCAAACAACCCAGTAAATTCTTTGTAAAGGCTTGAACTGGAGAGTAATGTTGGGATTGAGGTGAAAGGAGGAAATGGGAGACATTTACGAACTTGAACACTGCTGGACTGCATGTGGCAATGGGAACACTGGGAATTGTAGGACTGTTGTTGTGTTGTTGTTGTGTTGTGTTGTTGTCCACCGTTGAGTTGGACCCGACTCATAGTGACCCCTCCTTGGGTTTCTGAGGTGGTATCCCTACGGAAGTAGATTGCCCAACCTTCCTTCCGAGGAGTGGCTGGTGGGTTTGAACCGCCAGCCTTCTGGTTAGTAGTCAAGTGCCTTAGACGCTACGCTACCAGAGCTCCTATTGTAGGATTAGTCTCAGGAGTTTAGCTTGGTGATTTGTTCAATGGAATTGCATGGTGTGGCCCGTAGGCTGTGATGAAGAATATAGGTGGAGAGAGAAGGTTTAAAGGGAAACTGGCATGCTCAGTGTTGCTGTGGATGGGAAGTTGATCAGAGAGCTCAATGTATGGACCTTTAGTGCAGTGACGAGATCAGGAAATACATATTTGTAGTTCTTAAATGTAGCAATAATTGTTGAGGTTGAATCATGAATAAAATCATCCAAAGTGGTGATTTTATGGTTTTGGAGCACTGTCCTTCAACTTTTGTAAAAACTACACATGCCAGGGCCTGCCCTGGGAATCCTGAATGAACTGGTCCAGGATGGACCTGCAGGCATCATTATAGAGTAATAGCTCTCCGGGGAATGCAGTGCTATGTCTGGAGTGAAAGGAGGACAAACAGAGAGGAGAGGGCTGGAGACAGCATTACGGAGGGGCTGGGCGGACCAGCTGGGGCTGAGAAGGAGAAGCCCAGAGGGCTGGCCAGCCAGTCAGCGGTCACAGCAGTGGGGTGAGGCAGCAGGAAGCAGTGAATGTGCTCACGTTAGAGCAGAGAAAGATAAGGAGAACCCAGAAACGCTTTTCTCCCAATGAAGAAGCTCTTGGTACCTTTAGGATGAATGCACTGTTGACGCGGGAGGAGCCACTCGCAGGGAGTGGATGAGCAAGTGGGAGGTACTAGTTGTTGCTTCCTTTTCTTAATCCTTTTTTTTCTTTTAATGGGACAAATTGGACATGTTTAGTTTTGAAGAGAATAGCCATCTTATGGTGAAAAAAATAAAAAAGATAAATTGAAAACATAAAAGGAACAGGGAAAAATATGACAGAGTTGTAATAAACAAGTCAGGTAAAGGGCAGGTCAAGGAGAGTGGGGCCCCATGTATGGACACCAAGTGGCCTGAGAACTCTTTCAAACTAGAGGCAAGCTTCTGTCTAAATGTGTAGTACTTGAGTGAAATGTCCATAGTTTCCTTACGAGTCCAAAGATTCTCAGTGTTTGAGTACCCTGGACAATGATTTCAGATCAAAGAGGACTGATAGGACATGTTGAGGAGAGAGGATGCAATGAATGGAGAGGTTTGGAAAATAATGGGTTTAAGCAGTTGGACCGAAAGCAAAAAAAAAAAAAAACTCATTGCTGTCCAGTCATTTCGGATTCATAGGGACCCCTCCTTGGGTTTCCAAAGCAGTATGTGTATGGAGATAAATGTCCCAATCTTCCTTCTGAGGAGTGGCTGGTAGGTTTGAACCACCAGTGTTCTGGTTAGCAGCCAGATGCCGTAGGCACTACACCATCAGGGACATAGATAGCGTCAAAAGGTTCAAATGTGCCCAAATCATTCATTTAAAACAAAATTTAAAACAGGAAATATATGGCATACTTATGTAAAAAACAAAAAAATATTCTACTACCTCCTCAAATTCACCTAGTGGAAGTTTCCTAGGTGTATTTGGTTGGTTTCAACAAGTTGCACCTGACTAAGAAAAATGGATTGCTCACGTCTAGTATGGGGCGTCAAGGGCCGTGGTGGTCAGGTTCTGCATGGGACTTTTTTGAGAGATTGGCTCATCCATGTTGGACTGAACACAGGTGAACATGGGAGTGAAGACATGCGTAATGAATTTCTGTTAGAGGCCATTCATTTCTTCAAAAGGGAAACAGTGCAGAGGGATGGGAGATTAGATGGTAGTTATACAGATACAGAATAAAGAGAGAGATGTTCCCGCTGCATTAGCTTTCCCCATCCAAAGTAACTTGACATCCATGACTTACATGTAAAAGTAATAGCTGTTATTCTCAAATAGTTTGTTCGCTCACAACCTGGTCATGTTGGTTTATCAGAGAAGGGATACAAGCCTGTATATTCTGTAGTGTATAAGCGATAGGAATAGCATACATTGGGCTAATGCTTACACGGACTTGATTTTTAAGGATTCACCTTTTTGTTTTTGAGTTAATATTTTAGGGAAATAAAACTTGTTTTTATGGATACTTCTTAAGGATGTTTTTAAGGTTCCAGATTAAAATTACGGTAGTAAATAATTCCGTTGTGGTCGATACTGCATCTCTTGGTCTCTGTGATGTATAATGGTGCTCTGGTGACATAGTGGTTAAGGCATTTGGCTGCTAACTAGAAGGCTGGAGGTTCATACCCACCAGTTGCTCCACAGGAGGAAGATGAGACAGTCTACTTCCATCAGGTTGACAGTCTTGGAAACCCACTGGGGTTGCGTGAGTCAGAGTGGACTCAAAGGCAGTGGGTGGTATGCAATAATGCCACAGAAAACCATTCCTGATTTTCTTGCAAGAGTTACTAAGTTCTCTCTACAATGTCCAAAGAATCATACACATTTTTCAGAGATTACAAATAATCCTAAACGTAATCTTCTCACACATGTATTGACCTTTAACTGATTAATTGTCCATTTTATGCTTAGCAAGTTTCAGGATTACCTTTACTCTCTATGGCTCTAATTTCCAAATCATCATGAATCTCAGCTCCTTGCACACTTCAGATATCCATGCATGTGAACCTTTAAACTTAAGGTGATAGTCAATAAACAGTGGACATTCCGAGTGACTGCTGACCACAGAGCAACCAGCCTTGCCATACCAGGCTTAACTTTTGTGTTTCTGGAAGGAGGTGGTCTCAGGAAAGGTCCAGCAGCTGGGAAACACTTAGATGGCTTAGGCGACAGCTCTTTACTTACAGGATCAATGTGTGTTGGTATTTTAACAGCTGTATGAGCCCTGGTGGGGCATGGTTAAATGCTTGCCTGCTAACTGAAAGGTTGGTGGTTCCAACCCACGGAGCAGCTCCATGGAAGAAAGAGCTGGAGATGTGCTCCCATAGAGGTTATAATCTAGGAACTCTACAGAGCAGCTGTACTCTGGCCCATGGGATTGCTGTGGGTCAGAGATCACCTCCATGCATACAACAACAGTGTGGCCACGCTAGGGGGTGTCCCGCTGCATTTCAGCCAGAATGTTGACCTGTTTGGCCGCGGCAGGAGAGGAATGGGAGAACTTCAGCCAGTGCGCCCAGGTTGGGCTTTAGAGAGCTTCTTGCTCTGCTGAGCTCTTCTGTGACTCCTTGGAGTTGTAGAAACATCTGTGAAGATGAGCTCTGTTCCAGTTCACTCAAAAGAGTTTGTGAGGAATTCTCTGGGACAGATAGGGAGCTAAGGGCAGAAGAAAGAAGGTAAATAAGATACAGTTCTTGTCTTACGTGAATAGATGTGGACAGAAAGCTTTATTTAAGCAAGATTTTCTGGGTAAACAGTGGTTAACAAATTGGAGTTATATAGACACTCCCAAAAGTGGGGACGTATGAAAGCCAGAACCACACCCACTGCCATCTAGTTGATTCTGACTCCCAGCACCCCTAGAGGACAGAGTAGATATGCCCCATCGAGTTTCCAAGGCTGCCGATCTTCATGGGAGCCGACTGGCACAACTTTCCCCCACACAGTGGCTGGTGGATTTGAATTGCTGTCCTTTTGGTTAGCAGCCCAATGCCTTAACCACTGCACCACCAGAGCTCCTTGAAAGCCAGAAAGGGCATGCTATTTGAGAAGTGTATGACCTATTTGGAGTGCCTCACCTTATTATGCTGTGTGTGAAGGAGCTAGAAGAAGACACCAGATGTGTGGGTTATAGGAGGCCCTTAAAGAATGTGTAGGTCAAGTCGAATGTTTCTCTCTTTATCCTGTAACTCAGGAAGCAGAGGAAGAAGGGTAAACCTGGGAGTGATGTGACCAGTTTTGTTTTCTTGACAGTTTCCTCTTCCTGCCCTTGTCTGCGCACTTTGATCTAATCAAGCTATCCGTTGGGGTCTACTTGAATACTTGTAGGCCTGTGTGGCATGGTTCTTAAGAGGTTTCTGAGCTCATCATGGGTTCTGAGAAACTCGGGGGAAGTAGCAGGAGACGTCCTTCTGCTTTGTGAAGCCTGGTAGCGGGGTCTTCCACGAGAACCGTGTGATTAGCTAGTCAGCGCACGATCCGAACAACAGCACTCCAGCCCCGGGAGGAAGGGCATGTCAGGCACCTCGTGGAAATAGTGGGCCCGATAATGCTGCCTACTGTGTGCTTGCTTTTGCATTTCCAATGGAAAGTGTCCGGATAGTGCCTGACGTAGAATCAAAAAATCAAACCAATGACTTAAAAGGTGGCCTTGTAAACATGCTCTTCATTTCTTTCATTCTTTTTTTACAGCCGCCCCCAGACAGTGCATTGAACTTTATTTTGATGAAAAGTACTCAATAGAACCTTCCTGGGAGTGCAAGTTTGATCATATTGAGGTTCGGGATGGACCTTTTGGCTTCTCACCAATAATTGGACGTTTCTGTGGCCAGCAGAACCCACCTGTGATAAAATCCAGTGGGAGGTTTCTATGGATTAAATTTTTTGCTGATGGCGAGCTGGAATCCATGGGATTTTCAGCCCGATACAACTTCACACCTGGTAAGTAGGAGCCTGCTTTTACTGATGTCTTTTCCTTCCTGACTCATCTTTCTTCATAATACAAAAGCTTTTGTAAGACAATTTTATACTTTTTTCAAAGAATGTTCCATTTCTATTTAAAACCAAGCATAGTCTTTTCATAAATTCTGAGAAAAAAATTAAAAAGTATCTCCTGCAAACTTAGCTGCTTTAGAGATAAAATGTAGTGACTCAGGAGTGGACAGGGTCATCAGCAATGCAATTAATTAAATGGACGCTTATTATTCTGGAATATGTAATTTGAGAGACAGACTGCAATAAAGAAGAGTAATTATACATAGAATCCCAGTAAACCTGAAAGGCAATTGTTGTAAAATGCATCCATCAAAACGTTCTTTGGAGAACTTGAATGAAAAGTTCATTTGTTCTGAAAATTATAATTTCAGAAGTAAATGGATCACACGCAGAAGTGCCTGATCTCTTTTGAGAAAGACAGACTCCTAAGGATTCTGATGAAAGGAAAACTGAGACCTGTCACAGCCGCATAGCCATTTGCAAGGCCTGGCAGACATTATCGGTGATTATTAAATTATGCGGTCTGCATCAATTTTCCTTTTTAACCTGCTAATATTAAAAAGGGGCCTGTGATGTTGACTTGCTCATTTTGGGGTGAGTGATCACTCATTGCAGTAAAAAGAGGTTATCACACTTTTAAACTTCAAGAGCCCCAGGCTGCATCAATTTGAAATTTGATGAAAGGAAGTCATTTTTTAGAGGAAAAGTGACTCATATTACACGAAGATAACCTTTATATAAACTTTTTTTATTTTGTATATAATGTTTCCCCTCAGTTATGTCAGGCATAGGAGAATTTGGAACATGGGTAAAATTTTTGCAATTGCTGCTCCATTTTACAGAGGTAACATCAGAGCAGGGCTATGATGCTCTGATAAACTAAAATTTTGAAAACAAATGACAGCTGATGAATGATGACTGTACTTTTGTCATTGGGTTGTGTTACATAAATCAGATACTAACTGTATTCTATGTTTTCACCTTAACCATTAGGAATATTTCAGCAATATCACTAAGGAATTGTAACTTTAAGGGCACTTTGCTAATATTGGTGCACTCACAGAAATCATGGATTTGACATGTGATTGTGAAACTAATTTGATGTATTCTAGAAAGATATGAAACTATACACTGATCTCCCTGGCAGATTATCAGTGCTCCAGTTGTAAATGGACATACATGTTTTATTCTCAGCTGGTAATTTAGAGTATACTCCGGACCTAAAAGTAGTGGCAATGTCTTCATTAGGTTTTCCTAAGTTCGTTTTCCACCCTGTGTTTGATGAAGGTCTGCATAGTATCTAGTATTGAAATTCTGGGTTCTGTACAGAGTTTAGAGACAATGCACACACTTCCTCAGTTCAGTGCTATCCACATTTCTGTCTCAGGTTGAGAAAACATAAATAATCACCCTCAATCTACTTTCTTAGGTTAAATAAAGGCATTTGTCGCAAACATTTTCTTCACCCTTTGTTTCTTGGGGGTTGTTCGTTGTTGCCCATTCAGTTCCAACTCATGGTGCCCCCATATGTGCAGAGTGTAACTGCTCCATGGGGTTTGCAAGGCTGTGCCTGCTCAGAAGTACATCATCGGACCTGACTGCCAGGGCGCCTCTGGGTGCGTTCAGATGGCCACGCCTTTGGCTGGTAGTTGAGTGCTCACCTGTTGCAGCCACCCAAGGAAGAGCACAGCGTTTTCTAGACGGGGGACATTTTCTTGCCAGAAACAACTAAATCTGAAGGGGACACGAAGAGATGATACCATGAAGTGAGGGATGTGTTAGGGATGGGCCAAGGGTCTGTTTTCTCTTAGAAACTGGAGAGTGAAGGGTGCTGGGAGATCTGCAGTTGCCATATGAGAAGGAAGACCCTAGAAAAGAGACTTGAAAAAGTTTCCTGACTGCTCACACTGTATGCTCCAAGACCATGATCTGCGTCACATGACACAATACAATTCGTTCCCTAGAGAGGCAATAGTGAGGCAGCCAGTTGGTTAATGGAATGGAAAGGATGTGAACATTAGGGGTAATTTAGACATGGTTTAGGGAGTCAATACTCAGGCTGGCTTTACTTGTAATCATGGCTTGTTTCTTATTTGGTTGTATAGTTGCAGTGATAACCATGGGTAAATGAGGGGGAAGAGTTGTTTAAGTGAACTTAAAGGTATGAGTGACCATGTGCTGTGAAATAGGCACCAGTGGTCCATATCCCAGAGATGAAGTTTGCCCACCAGGTCCCTGGAGATGGTGAGACTCCAGCATAGCAGTTAGGAGTTCTTTGGAATCAAGCCCAGCTTCCTGTCTTTGCTGTTAGGTGCGGTCAAGTTGGTTCCAACTCAGAGCAGCCCTGTGTACAGCACAGTGGAAGACAGCCCGGTGCTGCACCATCCGAACCATCACTGCTGTGTTTGAGTCTGTTAGTGCAGCCACGTGGCAGTCCACCTCCTTGAGGGTCTTTCTCTTTTTAGCTGACCCTCTACTTTACTGAGCATGATGTCCTTCTCCAGGGACTAGTCCTTCCAAAAACATGCCCAAAGTACAAGAGACAAAGTCTCATCATCCTTGCTTCAAAGAAGCATTCTGGCTATAGTTCTTCCAAGACAGATGCGTTCATCCTTCTGCAGTACGTGATATAATCACTATTCTTCATCAACACCATCATTTAAATGCATCAACAGTTCTTTGATCTTCCTTATTCATTGTCCAGCTTTTGAGCGCCTATGAGGAGATTGAAAATACCAGTGCTTGGGCTGGGCACACCTTAGTCCTTATCTTCTTATCTTGCTTGCTGAAAATCATAGACATAATTTTGACCTATCAGCCTCGTTTTACTGAGAATTTTTTGACTCACACAGCCCCTCTTTGGCAAGCAAAAATACACGTGTAACCAGATGATAATTAGAAGATTGCATAATGAGTGTGGGAAACAACTCTTGAATATTATGTAACTTTCTGGTGGCATAGTGCCTAAGGCATTTGAGTGCTAACCAGAAGGCTGGCTGTTCAAACCCACCAGCCATTCCTCAGAAGGAGGGTTGGGCAATCTACTTCCATAGTGATACCGCCTTGGAAACCCAAGGAGTGGTCACTATGAGTCTGATCCGACTCCCCGGCACTGAGTTTGGTTTTTGTTGTTTTCTCCCATGATCAATGGCATTGAGCTAAAGCACATGGTGGTTCATCTCCCTAACATGAGTGGTTTTTCCCATGATGCTCTAGATCCCAAATGGTGATGATTCTATTCCCACTTGTCTCCAGCATCCTTGTCTAAGACCATCTTGCCTGACTGGCAAATTAATTTGGTAGCTCTTATCCCCAAATTTACATTTCTCAATACGTGACTTCCTTTCATTTTCTTTTCTACTCAACTTAGAAGAAAACAATGGCCTTTTAATCACAGGCTCCTGGAGTCACTAGTAGCTTTGCTCCGGAATGGGTAGTTGATGGAAAATAGCCAACTGGAAGTACTGTGTGGAGGCGGGGAGTAAGAGAGCAGGACCAGAGAAGATACCACGGAAACACATTTTGGAAGGGCCTTCTGGGTTTCCTGACACATTCTGATGAGCCCTTATTTTTCAGTCCACTGATGGTGGTTATTTTGGACACTGTCATTACCCAGGGTATAGTGCAGTGATGAATCACTTGAAATGATAGTCTTGCATGGAAAAGAAGGATGGTGAGATGGAGCAAGAGCCGGGAGAGACCAACTGATTCAGACCCTGGGCTCTGCAAGAACAAGGGGTAGTCGGAGGCTTTCCACAGGGAGCAGGGATGGAGAGGCCTGGGCGGCAGGGTCCTGACTGGGGAGGGCCTCTCCTGTGGAGACATAGCTGTGTTGTGAGGCTACCTCCCCAACGTACTCTCCCACTTCTAAGAAAAGAGATGTGTGCAGAAACCCTGAAGATGTCCAAAGTTATTTATTGTGAAACTTGATAATACACAGACATTTCAACAAGAAAACTTTAAAAGTACTCATCAGAAATAATATTCTTTTTCTCATCTTAGTAAGATGAACACATTTTTTTCTCAAACAACTAAAGTAACTTTATTATATTATAGAAAAATGAATGATTAGAAAAAAATTTTGCAATAAAAAAATTTCAGTAATGCTAGAGTGGTATAAACCAGACTCCTAACAACAGTGACTCTATCGGGAGAGGAGAGAAGCGTTGGAATATTTGAAGAGGCCACAGTGGAGATACAATTTAAATTGCCCACTGTTACCTGTCATGTTTCTATATGACAGGTAACATAGCGTAATGCCTAAGGCACTTCTCTGCTAACCAGAAGGCTGGTGGTTCAAACCCACCAGGCACTCCTTGGAAGGAGCATGGGGCAATCTACTTCCATAGTGATACTGCCTCAGAAACCCAAGGAGGGGTCACTATGAGTTGAGTCCAACTCGATGGCATGTAACAACAACATATTTTCCTTTTTACTTGTATAATGAAAAAATATTTAAGATAAAACCACAGGGAAGGAAAATGCTATAGCTGATAGTTTTTAAATGAATTCTTAGAAGGGGGGCTATTGTTTCCCTGGATCACCCACCATTTTGTACTCAAACTAAGATGCCTTTTAAGTGGGGATGAGGCTTCCACCAGACTGTCTCACGTCCATTTTCATTGCCTTTTAAAGTAGAAACTGAGAACAAAGCACAATGATCGGTACCCACTGTGCCCCTGGCACAGGGTGTGGACTCCAGGGAGGGTCATCTTTCCAGTCTCTTTACTAGTTTATTTCCTGATGGAAAGAGTTTCTCCTGGATATAGACCAAGCGTGTGGTGTTTCTGGAATCTTCCTCTTTGAATGGTGACAATTCTCCCTGTCGGTCTCATGAAAATGAAGTTATCGCACCCTCTGCAGAAATGCAAATGAAGGAAAAGGAGAAAATACCAGCCTTTGCAGGTGGGGTGGGCCCTGGACTGGCAGGGAGTGGGGTGGTTAAC